AAATGTAAGCTATGGAAGGGGCAGGTGAAAAGCTTGCTGTAAAATACATCATGTCCATTCTGCAGGATTTTATAGATATGACATGGTGGTCCCAACCCACTGGGTAGCCTAAATTGAAGAACCTGAGGTAAATTGCATAAACCTAAATTAACCTTACCTGAGGTCTTTCCCACAGCATGAGTGCAATAAAAAGTCCTTTTCTGTGTGCTCAGATTCTCTGTCTCAGTTTTTCTTAGTTTAGTGTCAGACTTAGTAGCCCCAGCGTCCCTTCTGCTACCCCTTGCCACACCTTACTACCCACCTGTGGCTAAAACATGTGGCTCCAGCCCCTAGGTTATTTGACTGTAACCACCTGCCCCATTCTGTTTTCGTGGTGAGCTTGGGTATGCTTGTGCGAGTCGCTTGCTCCCCTACCCACCACCGGTCTGGGGTACTGGAAGACAGTCCAGGAACCGCTTACTGGTGGTTCAGTCAAATCCCAAAAGGATTTTAACAACATGTTTAAACATGTTTCATCTTGCACATTTTCTTTGTTGGCGATGCCGTATGGTGTAGCTTATCGCCTATAGCTTTAGCTATGGGGGTGCTCCCGGATGCCGGGAACGCCCGCGCGCGCGTGCCCCAAACGGGTTTGATACGAGGTCTCGGGGGGCCGCGCGTAGTAGATCATAGCTTGGTGGCGAGTGAAAGCTAGGACCAAGCAAATCAATAGGCCAAGAATGCCTGGAAGGTAAACCTTGAAACCCAATGAAAAATGTAAGCTATGGAAGGGGCAGGTGAAATGCTTGCCGTAAAATACCATGAAATGTAAGGTAATCTCAGAACATCTAAAAACGCTGGGTAGTGCACAGCTGCGTAGTAGATCATAGCTTGGTAGCGAGTGAAAGCTAGGACCAAGCAAATCAATAGGCCAAGAATGCCTGGAAGGTAAACGTTGAAACCCAAATGAAAAATGTAAGCTATGGAAGGGGCAGGTGAAAAGCTTGCTGTAAAACACCGTGAAATGTAAGGTAATCTCAAAACATCCAAAAACGCTGGGTAGTGCACAGCTGCGTAGTAGATCATAGCTTGGTAGCGAGTGAAAGCTAGGACCAAGCGAATCAATAGGCCAAGAATGCCTGGAAGGTAAACGTTGAAACCCAAATGAAAAATGTAAGCTATGGAAGGGGCAGGTGAAAAGCTTGCCGTAAAACACCATGAAATGTAAGGTAATCTCAGAACATCTCAAAACGCTGGGTAGTGCACAGCTGCGTAGTAGATCATAGCTTGGTAGCGAGTGAAAGCTAGGACCAAGCAAATCAATAGGCCAAGAATGCCTGGAAGGTAAACGTTGAAACCCAAATGAAAAATGTAAGCTGTGGAAGGGGCAGGTGAAAAGCTTGCTGTAAAACACCGTGAAATGTAAGGTAATCTCAAAACATCTCAAAACGCTGGGTAGTGCACAGCTGCGTAGTAGATCATAGCTTGGTAGCGAGTGAAAGCTACCAAGCAAATCAATAGGCCAAGAATGCCTGGAAGGTAAACGTTGAAACCCAAATGAAAAATGTAAGCTATGGAAGGGGCAGGTGAAAAGCTTGCTGTAAAATACCATGAAATGTAAGGTAATCTAAAAACATCTCAAAACGCTGGGTAGCGCACAGCTGCGTAGTAGATCATAGCTAGGTAG